TGGAATTATGAAGATATGCCAGGACTCGATCCAAATGTAGCAGTTCATTGTCTCAATATTAAGCCGGATGTCAAACCTGTCAAACAATAATAAAGACGGTTTCGTCCGCAAATTATGGAGGCAATCGAGTCTGAAGTCAAAAAGCTTATCGACTCGGGTTTCGTCAGGGAGGAGCAACATCCCGAATGGCTTGCCAATATCGTCCCAGTCCTCAAGAAGAACGGGAAAATTAGGATTTGCATCGACTTCAGAGATCTTACCACAGCCTGCCTAAAAGACGATTTCCCTCTTCCCATCACAGATGTTATCATCGACAATACGTGTGGATTCGAGAGAATGTCTTTTATGGACGGATTCTCTGGTTATAATCAGATAAAGATGCACCCAGATAACGAAAAGCACACCGCGTTTAGAACACCTCTCGGTGTTTTCTGCTACACGGTTATGCCATTCGGCTTGAAGAACGCAGGTGCCACGTATCAGAGAGCCATGTCAAAGATTTTCCAAAAGCATCTCCGAAAGATCGTCGAATGCTCTGTGGATGATCTGGTTGTGAAAAGTCATGACAAAAATAATCACATCAAGGATTTAAAGACAATGTTCAATTTGATGCGGACTCATCAGTTGAAGATGAATCCTACCAAATCTTTTCTCGGAATGTCCAGCGGTAAATTTCTTGGATTCGTCGTCACCACCAAGGGTATTCACATTGATCCTGACAAAGTGAAGGCGATTAACGAATTACAACCTCCGAGAAACAAGGGTATTCACATTGATCCTGACAAAGTGAAGGCGATTAACGAATTACAACCTCCGAGAAATCTTAAGGAGCTCAGAGGACTACAAGGACGGTTGGCTTATATCTGTCACTTTATTTCAAACCTTTCGGGAAAATGTCAATCATTCTCCAGGCTTACAAAGAAAGGCGTATCATTTATATGGGATGACGCTTGCCAAAAAGCATTCAAAGATATTAAAGAATATCTCTCCAAACCACCAGTGCTCGTTGCACCGAAATCGGGCAAACCGTTCTTGATTTATATCAAGGCGACAAGCCACTCGTTAAGTGCGTTACTTGCACAAGACGACGATAACGGTCACGAACAGGCAGTGTATTATTTAAGCCGGACCCCCGTAGGCGCCGAATCTCGATATCCAATGATCGAAAGAGAGTGTTTCTCCTTAGTATTCGCTATCCAAAAGATGTGACACTACTTGGTGGGGTAAACTATCTATGTCATCTCTAGTGTTAACTCAGTCAGAATATTCATGACACAGTCTGCTTTCATGAATTGGCGATTAGCAAAATGGGCTCTACTTCTGTCCCAAAATGACTTGCATTTTAAACAACAAAAATCGGTCAAGGGACAAGCTATTTGTGATCTCCTGGCGGCAAACCCAACTACGGATACCGTCGAAGTATACGACGATCTGCCAGATGAGACCCACGAAGTCAACGTAACTTCCCATCAACAGGTGTGGCGTTTGTACTTTGACGGTGCCTCTCGAGCGACCAATGTAGCAAGTTCTCCTAGACCTTCTAAGATTTTCTCCAGAGTTGGAGTTGTCTTAGTTTCCCCAGGAAAACATGTGATGCCTAGAGCTTACTCACTGACCGAGCCGTGCTCGAACAACGTAGCCGAATATAATGAGCTGCTTATTGGACTCAGCTTTGCCAAAGAGCTGGGGGTTGAGTATCTCGAAGCTTTCGGTGATTCTCAACTAGTAGTTAAACAAATTCAGGGAGAGTATAAGGTCAGAAATCAAGACTTGATACCATACCACAAGGTGGCCGTTGAAATGGCAGAATCGTTTGAAGGATTCTTCATCGAATACATTCCACGCTTACAAAACACATACGCAGATGCGCTAGCAGCGTTAGCTGTGTCCCTGGCGCAGCCTCCCGAAATGGAACAGTTCGTTACGGTGAGAACTCACCAACTCTTCGTGCTAATCTACAGTGAAGATGACAAGGAAGAGGATATTAAAGAAGTACATTCAACTCAAGTTGAATTCGAACCCCGAGATTGGTGTTTCCCTATCATCGATTATGTCTTGCATGGAATCTTACCAGAAGATGTGAAGGAAAGGGACTCAATCCGACGAAGAGCACCCAGATTCTACTATAACACGGAGAGTCGAACGCTATATCGCAGGGGGTACGATGACTTGCTACTACGTTGCTTATCGATTAAAGAAGCAGAAGAAGTCCTGAAAGAGACGCACGAAAGGGTTTGCGGTGCACACCAACCTGGCCCCAAACTTTATGATCGCATTAGAAGAATGGGGTATTATTGGCCTACCATGATCAAAGATGCAGTCGCATATGCCCGAAAGTGTCATGCGTGTCAAGTGCACGCGAATTATATGCACCAACCCCCGGAGCATCTACATCCTTCGGCGACCTCGTGGCCTTTTGAGACTTGGGGAATGAATATTGTTGGTCCTATAAATCCCCCGTCGGTCAGAGGTGACCGATTTATTCTCACGATTACCGATTACTTCTTCAAATGGGCTGAAGCGATTCCTCTCAAGGAAGTTAAGACAAGCAACGTTATTGCATTCATCAAACACCACATTATTTATCGATATGGTGTCCTAAGACGAATTATACATGACAATGGTCCTCAGTTCGTCAGCAATGCCTACATTAAGTTTTGCGAGAAGTTCAGAATTCAGGACCTCTCGTCAACAGCGTACAATCCCGCAGCGAACGGATTAGCTGAAGCTTTTAACAAAACTATCATCAAGCTTCTATCAAAACTCGTGAAGACTAACAAACGAGATTGGGACGATAAACTCGGCAAAGCACTATGGGCTTACCGTACCACAGTTCGCACGCCTACTGGCATAACCCCGTATTCTTTGGTGTACGGGTGTGAAGCCGTCCTTCCGTTGGAAATACAAATTCCATCTCTTCGAATCGCTCTCGCAACCCAGATGACGACCGAAGAACAACATCAGAAACGTCTCGAAGAACTCGAGAGGCTCGATGAAAAGCGCTTAGAAGCTCAACAGCACATTGAGTTTTACCAAACCAGAATTTCTCGAGCTTTCGACAAGAAGGTTCGACAACGGAGTTTTAAAGAAGGAGATTTGGTCTTAACTGAACGACGGCCTATGATCATTAACTCTAAGAAGAAAGGCAAATTTAAACCCAAATAGGAAGGGTCGTTCGTAGTAGAGACAGTCTATTCAAGTGGCGCATATCGCCTCATTACCAAGGAAGGCGACCGACTTATGATGCCGATAAACGGCAAGTTCCTGAAAAAATACTACCCTTAGTATACTCTGGATAACCAATGTATCGGGAAGTTCCCGGAAGAATACTGCATGTGGTATTCTTAGGGATAACCCAGTTGCTATGAAAGTAATGAATAAAATCCACACTTGGACTCTGAATATATTCAAAGTTAAAGCGTGTTTTATTATTGATGAATGAGATTTGATCATCTTGACAGATCAACCTTTCCTCACAAAATCCCCCACTGATCAAGTCAAGTGACGGTGGGCCCACCAAAATTTCTATTCGCCAATTCACGGTGATTCTCAAAACTTGACGTGTTAAGTCCTAATCACTTAACATCAAAATTTCCCATTGAGTGGCTAGTACAAACCAGTATTTCTACTGCTACCTGTATTCCACTCTCTTTGCTTTCAGGTCAAACCTATAAAAGTTAGGGCCAAAGCCAAATTCCTCTCTCAATTCCTTCCATGAACGAGGGGTCCACTTTCAATTTGAACAATCAAACCTATAAAAGTTAGGATTATCTCCGACCTCACTTAGTCAAACCTGCAGATAGTTAGGACTAAGATCGAGTCATTCCTTTCGATAAACGAAAGACTTCCATCTTTTCCTTTTCAGCCAAACCTATAAAAGTTAGGGTCGAAATCAGAATTTTTCCTCAATAAATGAGGAACTCTTTTCTTGGATCAAGCAACCAATCCTATAAAAGTTAGGGTTGCTTGAATCTTTCCGATTCTCGGAGTAGAGATCTCACTCCTAGTTTCATCTTTCCGGATTCTGGGGGTGGAGATCCCACTTCGAGTTTCCTTTCCAACTGAAGATAGAATATAAAATTCTTCCTCTTCAGTGTTGGGAGATAGAATATAAAATTATTCCTCTTTTATTTTTGGGTTCGTCTTTACCCTGAATAAGACCTGGAGACAGAATATAAAATTCTTCCTCTCCAGCATCGGGTTTGTCTTTACCCTGAGAAAAAACACCATTCTCAACTTCCAATCCGCGTACTTCATGCACGGGGAATTTTATCTCGACTCCTAAATAGAGATAAGTCTACGCCTAACACGCGTTGCCGGTTTAGTCTTTTACCGATTGAAAAAGACACCAGAGTCTAAGTCTAGGGAATTTTATCCCGAAGCCTAAGAAGGGATAAGTCAACACCTAACACGCGTTACCGGGTACCATATTCCCGTAAGAAATGGTGAAGTATATGTATTTAAAATCATAGCACTAAGTCTAAGAGAATTAACTCTCTTAGCACAACGTTATATGTGAAACGGGTTTTAATAATTCACATGCTAGCCCGATTCAAACGGTAATCGGTAAAGGCACGCCAAACCCGTTGAAGGCTAGGGGTTTGCTAAAAATCCTAAGTCTACGTCTAACACGCGTCGTCGGTTTAGTCTTTTACCGATTGAAAAAGACACCAGAGTCTAAGTCTGGGGAATTTTATCCCGAAGCCTAAGAAGGGGTAAGTCAATGCCTAGCACGCGTTGCCGGGTGCCATATTTCCATAAGAAATGGTGAAGTCTATGTATTCAAAATCATAGCACTAAGTCTAAGAGAATTAATTCTCTTAGCACAACGTTACATGCGGAATGGATATATAATAATCTGCATGCTAGCCCGACTCAGACGGTAGTCGGTAAAGGCTCATCAAACCCGTTAAAGGCTGGGGTTTGCCAAAAATCCCACAAGTATTATGGTTGATTATTCCATACGGAGTAAGACATCATAATAAAGGAGACATAACAAATGAAAAAGACATATCTTCTATTAATAAAATTGAGTTTGCAGGTACAAGAGTTACAATCAATCTACATGAAGTTTGTGACTACAGACTTGCTGTTCAAGTTTAGTCAATTCCTCTGTATAAGTTCGCTCAAGCTCACACTGCAATGCAACCTTGAAGGATTCCTCAGTGAGGGATAATGTTTTCACAGCCTCTTGTTTGATCTTGGCTAACTTTTGTTTCGAGAGCTCCAATTTTCCGGATATCACAACTTGTGAACGCTCCAAGTCATCCTTCGTCATCCCTAAGATAGCCAAGGCCTCCACCTCTGCTTTGAGCTCCTCTTCGGGTTGCTCTATCTTAGCCTTACCCGACGTAATAGAGGATTTGAGTTGACGCGTAGATGTTTGTTTCTCAGTGAGGACGGCCTCCATTTGATCCACCTGACTTTGTTGCATTTGAATCTCAAGTCCAGCAGAAGCCCGAGTGTCATGCCATGCTTGTAGATGAGATTCCATCCGGATGGCTATGTACGTTGAAGTACCGGCAGTCTTCAACTCTTATAACCGTCGGAATTCGCGCTCCAGCCGGTCCAAATCGTCGACATAGCTAATCTGCAACAAAGATCAACAGCTCAGTTAGATCAAGAATCAAGATATATGAATCAGAGCTTAAAAGGGAAATTGCGAATCTTTAATTGAAATTCTACAAAATGGAATTTTCTAATTAAGGGTCCAATTAAACCTATACGACATTCTCGGTTCAAGTTAAGTGTCACAGAGTCAAATATAAGGCCTCGATCATGTCAACATGTGGATTCACAAGCTTAATCATATACAAGAATAGCTCGAATTCAAGGCATGCACGAGTTCAGTTACATATGAATTTAATAATACAAGAGCTCAGTTATATACAAATTCGAATTTGAATTATATACAAGAGTTCAATCATATGCAAGAGTTCAATCACATGTACACATTCAAGGCATATAAGGTTCTCGAGCCATACACAAGTTGGGATTCAAGTTATTTCGACCACATACAAGTTTGGATTCAGTCACATACGAGTTCAATCATGTACAAGTTCGAACCATACAAGAATGCAATCATATACAAGAATTCAGTTATGCACGAATTCAATCATACATACGAAGTTTGGTCATGTACAAGTTTGAGTTCAAGTCAAGTCCCGGCCTCACACATGTACAAATTCAAGGCGTATAAGGTTCTCAACCACATACAAGTTTGGATTCAAGGCATACACAAAATCAAAATCAAGAATCAAGGCCTCGATATGTTCCCTAAATCGAGAATTTGGTTTGGTTCTTATTCACAACCATGTTTAGTGAATTCCCACATAACTCAAGCTTTATGAGCAGTCAGTTCAAGCGAAGGAATTCGATTATATGCAAAGTCAATTCTTGGCCACATACAAGTACGAATTCGAGTCATTCGACCACATACGAGTTCGGATTCAAGTCATGCACAAATTCAATTATATACAAGAGCTTGGCTATATACAAAGTTTGAGTTCAATCATATACATGAGTTCAATTATATACGAGTTCGAATTATATACAAAGTTCAAGCACATAAAAGAATTCGACCATGTATAGCTCAAAGACCTCAACAGAATTTTCAGCCATATACAGGTTCGAAGAGCTGTTCGACCACACATTCAGTCATCAACCATCAAACCATGAGTTCCAAATCATGAATTCACGATAATAGTGATCAAGCCATGCTCACATGAACAACCCCAAATTTCAGCCAACACAAGCCAGGCTCACACGAGCAACCCAAATTTCGGCCACCATCAACCCTCAAAATCCAAGAAATTTCGGTTTTTTCCCTGAGATTAAAGAGTGGGGACTGCAGATATCAAGCCATGAACACAATCAAACTCAAAAATCGGCCATCATTCAAAGTTCAAGTTCAAGTTTCGGTTTTCCCCAAAATTCAAGAACTAGGGCTTCGATTTTTAGGTCAAAATTCAAAAAATCAGCCATGAATCGTTTTCCCCAAAATTCAAGAACTAGGGCTTCGATTTTTAGGTCAAAATTCAAAAAATCAGCCATGAATCAAGCATCCAAATATGAAGAGTGGAATAAATTGAAGCAAGGAGAGAGGAACTCACCTGGAACTCAAGAGGGGGATGAACTGTGTGCAAACCCGGATAGCCAACGTCCAATTTTCGAACCCTAGCTGGCCTTGCTCGTAGATTTGAGGGAGTTGAGGAGTTTGAAGAAGGAGAGGATGAAAGATTTAAAGGGCTTGTGGAGTTCTAATCTTGTTCGAATTCTTGAAGTGGGGGAGTTCTCAAAAGACCAGAGCTTGGGAAGGAGAAGAAACCGAAATATTATTGAGGAAGGAAGCTGGAATCGAAGTTTGGAGAAGAAGAACAAAAAGAATCGGGATTTTTTTCATCCCTTTTGAGCCTTCTCCGACCCGCGTTCCGCGGGTCGGATTAATCCAACCCGTGATCACGCGGGTCGGATCCATCTGACCCGCGTGAACGCGGGTCAGACCCAGTTTAGCGCCCGTTTTGATGTATTTTCGTCAGTTTTCGCCCGTTTTTCGAATGTTCGGAGTCCAACCTCATTTCTAGGATAATTTCGCGGCATTTTCACCTGTTTTCAGAATATTCAGAACCCAATTTTATATTTTGGGCGGCTTCGCAGCGTTTCACTCATATCCGGAATACTGGGGACCCAATTTTAAAGTTTGGATGATTTCGTGATATTTTCACTCATATTTAGAATTTTCGGAGTTCAATTTCAACTCCCGGATAATTTTGCGGCATTTTAGCCTACTTTTGGGAATATTCGGAGTCTGATTTCATATTTTCGATCGTTTTACAGCGTTTTCGCCTATTATCTGAATATTCGAAATCCAAACTCCAATTGGCGACCATGAGTCTAAATTGTTTCCCACTTTTGACGGGAAGTTCCTGGAGAATATTATATATATAATAATTCTTAAAGATAACCCGGCAACCTCCGACGGGTACATGAGGTTAAACTGATTCCCGAAACTCTCAGGAGTACACGAGTATAAACTGGTTCTCCTTAGGTTAATGTGAAACCCTAAGGTCAACGCCGGTCAACGCGTAGCCCTAGGTCAACGTAGGTCAACGCGTTGCGATGAGAGTCAACGCCGATAGATTCAAAACCCTAAGGTCAACGCCGGTCAACGTGTAGCCCTAAGTCAACGCCGGTCAACGCGTTGCGATGAGAGTCAACGCCGATCGATCCAAAACCCTAAGGTCAACGCCGATCAACGCGTTGCGATGAGAGTCAACGCCGATCGATTCAAAACCCTAAGGCCAACGCCGGTCAACGTGTAGCCCTAGGTCAACGCCAGTCAACGCGTTGCGATGAGAGTCAACTCTGATCGATTCAAAACCTTAAGGTCAACGCCAGTCAACGCGTAGCCCTAGGTCAATGCCGGGCAACGCGTTGCGATGAGAGTCAACGCCGATCGACACGAAACCCTAAGGTTAACACGGATCAACGCGTAGCCCCAGGTCAACGCTGGTCAACGCGTTGCGATTGATCCAAAAGTCAACTTAATGACACATCCACAAAAAATCTACTCACAAGTTCTAGTTCAAGGCTTCAATAATGGTCAGACGATAAACGCAGCACCGGGAAAAAATTTAGCTATTCGACAAAATACAGAATATGCTGAAATATGGAGAAGTCAAGAATCGAAACCATCTGTAGGCCCTTTAACACCGACTGAAGGTGGGAGTCCATCATATCCAAAGCGTTTCAGACTCCTCTATAAAAGAATGAGGCTGAAACACTTTCGAGGGGGTATCTGTAGGCGTCTAAAATTTCTTATGAGAGCCCGCACGAAACTCGAAGCAATGAATGTGCGAGTTAAGAAAAATTCACCTAATCAACTCGCACGCGTCAATCAGCACACACACGCCATTCGACTCGTGCGTGTCGGTCAACACACGCACGTCAACCAGCATGTATACATCGATCAACGTGTGCACGTCAAACTAACTTGTGCGCGTCGGCCAACATGCGCATGCCAATCAGTCCGCGCGCATCGATCAACATGCGTATGTTAACCAACGCGCGTTCGACAGTCGGTCTCGCGGCGAAGCATACAAGTCAAAAAATCGACCAAACACACGAAAAGATCAAGTCTCGGAAGAGAGAACAGAAAAAGAAAAAGTCGACAAAACTGCGTGAGCGTAGAACGGAACAAACCGACCCGCGCAAACGCGGGTCGGGTCAATCCGACCCGCACAGTCTGGAACCCGAAACGCGTTTTGACGGTTTTAAAGCTGTTTTCACTGGATTTATCTATTCCAGTGGTTAGTGGTTCCTAACTGACTTGATATCATCCCCAAACGTGATTAGGCTGTTGTTAATTGAAGATAAAGCCAAATCACTTGTTCTCATCCAAATAACCGCATCCGAGGCCTATAAATACGAGCCAAAGGCCTCCATTTTCGAGATCTGGAATATTATCAAGAGGACGAGATGCTGCTAGATTGAAGAGTGAAGGAGCACGAAATTTCAGCGAAGGTCAATGAGATCCCGGTGAACTTCGGCGCAAAGGAGAAGCCGTTCGAAGGATCCGAAGCCCGTACGTCCGTTCCTTGAGATTAGGCTTGGTCTTAATCTCGAGAAGAGCTCTGATTTCGCTTTGTCGATTTCAGCGCTTCAAACCAGAAAACTTCCTTGGCGAAGGCGAAGCTCTGCCGAATTTTCCTGCAACCGGATCTGATTCGCGGTCGTCCACGGATTAACCCCGGCACTGGTAAAGAACCCACACAAGCAAGAGCCGATAAACGGATCTTGTGTTTATTTTCAAGAAAGTTGTTATCTTTTATTTTCGTTATTTGAATTCATTTGTAACGACTAAAGTTTAATGAAATCAATGATGAAGGCAGCTTTCCACGAAAACACCTATCTGCCATTCTGACCTATTATAAAAGGTAACGGTCTAGGGTAAGGTCGGGTTCTTCTAAGAAATTATGAACAACTTTCTTTACTTACCTCTTACTTCTTCACTCAAGCTTAAATACTAACTTGATCGTTGGAGGAACCACCAGAGTGTTAGACCCTAGAGGGGGGGTGATTAGGGTCTTATGCTAATCTAATCCGATTAAATGCCAATTAAAATTAATTAATAAGTTATCCTCGCAAGTATGAAATACAACAAGATATGTAAGCTAGGATAAGCAATATGAACAAACGAATATATCCTTTCAATGAGATATTACAAGTATATGAGCAAGGATATATAAACTCAAGGGTAAACAATCTAAACTAGATAGTGGGCAATATAATCAACAAGCAATATACAAAGGCGATATAAGATATGAACATAAAAGTAAGTGCGCCAATGCAATCACAAACAAACAATATGATTATGGAGTTCGGTCCCCACGACCTACGTCTCCGCTCCTCACCTCGAGGAGATCTCCACTATCACAACCGGGTTTTCTACGTTCACCCGAACAACGTTTACACCTCACAATACAATCACTATGTAATCACACCTCACACACTAAGTGTTGGTCCTAGCCCGTGTCCTCCTCCTCAAGTGCTCGGTTACAACCTCTCCCTAGGCACGTCAACCGACGCCACTCCTCTTGGATTCGACCCCGTCTCTCACCACACACTTCTCTCGGTGTACAAGTGTATTACAAGTGAATCCTCACAATAAGCACAATATAAATCAAATGATTTGTTCTCTAAACAAGGTGAGAACTCAATTAAGCACAACTCTAAGTCACTAATCTCACAACCCAAAATTATACTATGAATGTAAATACAATAAGCTCAAAAGGTTGTGTGTGAACAAAGAGTATCAATAAAACAATTAAACTCAATATATAAATCTAGCTTATGGAAATTAAGATCAAAACAATAAATAGCTAGAATTGAGTTTAAGGAAAACTTCTCTATAGATCAAGAGTGAGAGAGAGATGAGTTGAATGCCCAAACACCAAATGATGATCTCCTCTTTGCTCTTGTGAAATTTGCTTCACAAACTAAAACCCTCAATTGCTTAAAAGCTTTTTAAACCAAACTTAAACAAAACCTTAAACAAGTTTAAACCCTTGTTAAACTATTTTTTAAAACAATCTCTTAGGTAGCTTGAGAGTTGAAGACAATGGGGGTATTTATACCCTCTCACAACTCAGCCAAAAACCTGAGCAAAAGATAAAACACAGCCCCAAGGCAACGGTCAAAAAACTAGCCGTTGGAAGCTGAGAGAATACTCGTCGGTCGACCGGAAAATTCGTCGGTCGACCGAAAATTTTCATCGGTCGACCGGACCGGTCGACCGACAGGCTTTCTGTCGCCCAGTGAACTTTTGACCTCAGGTTCGGTCGACCGGTGCGGTCGACCGAAAACAGATATGACAGGCTAAAAAATAGTTTATCTGATTTTAAAACGCTGTTTAAAAATATCAAATAAATTCAGAAAAATGTAAAACTTTGGGGAATGATTGTAGACATGATAATAAACATGCTACAATAACTGGTTTCGAAAAAGGACTTCTCAAATGAAAAATATCATCATTTTACAAAATAGTCCAAAACATGAAAACCTGAAAATTGATATTTTGATATTTTGACTTAAACAACATTTTGAAACCTTATGAAATGATTGTATAGACTTGATAAAAGATATAACATGTTGTTATGAAGTCTATAACCTAGAAATACAATATTTTCATAAAATTGCATATTCTATGCAATATATTCAAAACACTAAATATGATTTCATTAAATATAAGCTTGTTAAAGGTGAAATCATATATAGGCATATAAACATGAAACAAAATAGTATTTTTCATTTCTATTCATTTGTTTCATATATAAACTCGAAAACTATTAAACCAAAAATGTATATGTATATATATAAAACTATATATATATATATAGAAACCAAAACTTGTGTATATATATATAACTATATATATACAAAGAAATCAATAAATGTGTGTGTATAGATATTGAGCTTAGAGTATATAACACACATAATATAAAATCTAAAACTACATTACCCAAGCAATCTTGATCTTCAATTTAGCTTGACTTGGTACACTTGCGGATGAAGCTTGAACTTGATCTTTAACTTTGAATTGCAAGGCTTCACCGACATTCCGCCAACCTCCTTTGGATATGATCGTTGAAGCTCTATTCCATCCATCCTCCAACAACGTTGTTTGTCTACAATAAATACGAAAACACAAATACTAGACAAACAACATTAGTGGTAAATTGTTTGTTAAACATCATCAAAACAAGAAGGCCAACACAGAGATCCCAACTCCGGCCTCTCACATGTTCTTTATGTGCAGGATAGAACATCTGGCACAATAACCAGCCATTTAAGGAAGCTTGAGGACCCTAACACCCCCGTAATCTACAGATAAACCCC